GTATGAAGGCAAAGAAGCTTCAGAACGTTTGACTGTATGAAGGCAAAGAAGTTCCAGACTGTTTGACTGTATGAAGGCAAAGAAGTTCCAGACTGTTTGACTGTATGAAGGCAAAGAAGTTCCAGGCTGTTTGACTGTATGAAGGCAAAGAAGTTCCAGACTGTTTGACTGTATGAAGGCAAAGAAGTTCCAGAACGTTTGACTGTATGACGGTGAAGAAGTTCCAGACAGTTTGACTGTATGAAGGCAAAGAAGTTTCAGAACGTTTGACTGTATGAAGGCAAAGGAGTTCCAGGCTGTTTGACTGTATGAAGGTGAAGAAGCTCCAGACTGTTTGACTGTATGAAGGTGAAGAAGCTCCAGAACGTTTGACTGTATGACGGTGAAGAAGTTCCAGACATCACCTGAACAACCAAAGGGACACTGTTGACAACACTTTTTTCCAGAGTGTCATATTAAGTAATGTTCACCGTAGGTGGTAACAGGTGTTATATACTTTTTAGGACAAGAAAGGGACAAAGATCACTTGAAACAAGATCAGTTTAACAGTTTTCTTGACCATGTGTGAAACCAGCACATATTCAGAACAAAGAGTGATTTCAGAATATATATATATATATACATGTATATTACAATACTGAAAGAAGACAGAAACATGTACCACACAGCAAACTATAATGATAAAACTTGTTATTTTGGGAACTGGGCAATATAGGTCCATGGTTTTCCTGTAGAATAGGCCAACTTTGAAAAGATAATTATGGGAAATTGTATTTGTTTTTAAAGATAAAGTAGCTGTGGAATTCATTTTAGTGAGCAGTTTTCCCATGTTGACTGAATTATGACTTTTGTCTTGTGAACTGGCACCTTGTTACTCTTTTTGTTTTAGTGCTGACTTCCTGTTTTTCTAATTGTTTAGGATGTAACAGTATTAACATTTTAGTAAAGTAATCATACTGTTATCTGGTTGCTAATACAAAGTGATTATGCCTTGAGTTCTTCTGTAAGAATATATTGGTAATAATGATGTGTAGATGAACTGATGCTTCAAGTTTACTCTGGGTGTGATTGATTTTTGTTTATATC